AGAGAGAGAGAGAGAGAGAGAGAGAGAGAGAGAGAGAGAGAGAGAGAGAGAGCAGAGCTTTCCCAACTCCAGTGATTCCCAGACTGGCTGCCTGGCAGTGAGCTCTGTGCTCTGATCTGCCCGCTCTGATGGGGTTTCATGCCCTCGTAAGCGTTGTTGGGGATCCTGAGGGCAACACAGGTTCTGGCTGTTGAGCTCGTCCTCGCTAATTCTCATCTATTGACCATATCAGCCTGCACAGATGAGAGTCAGGACCAGCTAATCTCAGCCTTACTGACAGCTAATGGATCATCAACCAATGACAGTGGCTACAATCCATAAAGGGAGCTAAAAGAACACTGAACGCAAGCGGCCCAAAGACGACTGGCAGATATGAGAGGTAGGAGCTCCATGTATGTATGTGTTTATGTACATGGCTGGGCAGGCTGCTGTCAGCTGTTACAACTGGCATGTTGTGTAAACTGTTGTGTAACAGTGGACACAAAATACTTGCTTCTCACATTGAAACAGTTACATGCAAAACTATTTTCACATTTTTATGCTTATAGCAGCACATTAGCATCACCCGCGAGTTTCTGTTGTTGCCATTTGGTATTGAAATTTGTGCCATGTTGATTTTAAAGTGGTACTTGCTGTGGGTTGTGTGTGCATGTCATTACAAACTTCTTTGTGTGTACTTTGCACTGGAGGGACACATCACAGCAAAGAGCCATTCTCCTGTGTTGACCTCATTCCAGAGCTGCTGTTACAATGCTCCACTGAGCTGATGCTGTGTTTATTTGTGTCTGTATGTGCACTGAATTTATACGAGTTTGTTTATGAGTAAATGCACACATGTATGCACATGTGATTAAATGCATTCTTGCATACACACACACTCGAACTTCATTAACAAGGATGCATTAAACACAGGGCTTTGCACTGCAGCGTGCTAAACCTCAGCCCAGCCATGTTAACACAATATCATAACAGCATGAGTCACTACACCAAACTAACATCTGAGATCATATCGGGGAGCACCTGTGCATGGATATTTGTAAATCTCAAAATCATAATTCACTGTAAAAAGTCCATCAGACAACATGGTGATGTTTAACTCTGATTAGTAGACCATGTTACTGTGGAAGCAAAATGTATTTGTCAGAAGACACTGTTGTCAACTGCTGACTGTTAAATGGCAGTTGTGTGTATTTAGTGCTGTATGCTCAGTTTTACACAACACATTTTGCCATCCCATTTCAACGTTTAACATTCCATAGAGTGGTTGGCTGATTATTGCTGTTATTAGCTGCACAGCGTTCCCTAATACACTTCCGGAAAGAAGTATCAGGCTGCTGTGAGGTTCAGAGCTGCCTCCGACAAAGGCATCATTCTGATTCTAGCGGGAGAAGCTGCCTGATACAGACGAAAATGAGATAACATCATTTTGAGAAAACATTAAACATTCCCAGGTATGATAATTGCTGTGAAATTGCTCAGAAGAACATTTTAGCTGCTGTGCCTATGAAACCGTGGTGCTGCTTATCTATCTATTCAGTGTCTATGACTGCAACTTGTAAGCTAACTGCATTCACAGGCTTGGGTCAGAGCTTCATTTCATTGAGCCTCGAGCTAGTCAAGCCAATGCTATAAATACTGCTGTAACGTTCCAGAAGGAATGGACATGTGAAGTTATCTCAAAGGGAATCAGACACCCAATATGTGCTGCGTATGGATTTGTGTGTGGGTGAGGGGTTATGAGGCTTTGGCGAAGTCACCAAGGGCCACTGTCTAAGGGGGTGGGAGGTAGGAGTTGGCATATTAGTAATGAGTTGACTTTCTTCTTATCAGACAAACAACACTGTTATCTGAGCAAAAACAAAGGGAAGTAAAGACTTTATATATTTATATACTATATATGGATTTTGTTTATGTAACAGTAGTGCAGGATATTAGTGAAAGTGATCACATTTTTTAGTCAAGCACAAAAATAATATCTTTAATCTTTCAAATATGTACATGCAGCCTTATTTTCATGTATGGCTGCAAAAACATCTAACCATGCTTTTAACTCTAATCCAGTCTTATGTCCTTGTATCTTCACAGTGATACTGGTGTGTGCTCTCCTCTCCCCCCTGTCTCTGTCACATGCCTGTCCGAAGGAGTGTAGCTGCAACAGCAACACCAAAGTCGTAGACTGTCGGGGTCGAGGCCTATATGATATCCCTCGACGACTGCATCCAGACACCCAAGAACTGTATCTCCAAGACAACCGTATCAGGGGGCTGGGATCGATGGCTTTCAGGGAAATACCCCTTGTCCGCATTCTTGACCTATCTAATAACTCTATAACATCTATTTCGCCGACCGCTCTGCTCGGTCTGAGGACTCTGCAGCGCCTCAGCTTGGCCGACAACAGCCTGAGAGAGCTTGACAAACGGTTGCTCGGACCTATCCGCTCGCTTTCACACCTCGACCTCTCGCACAACAGGTTAAGCCTTGAAAAGATCAAACTTGTTGTGTTGCTTGTGCTGAACAGTGCATACTATAATTGTGATACCTCACTGAATCTTATCTCATTTCCTTCCCACTGCCCCTTCTGCCAGCCTGTGGGGTTTGCCCGGAGCCATGGGGGACAGTTTGAGGAACCTCAGCCACCTGGGGCTCGCGCACAACAGGCTAACAAGATTGGACCGCTCCCTTTTGGAGGCCCTGACTCACTTGGACAGCCTCACACTACGAGGCAACCCCTGGAGGTGTGACTGCCAGCTCATAGGCCTCAAACTCTGGCTGGAGACCTATCTCTTTAAAGGTGAGAGCGTTAGAAGCTACCTCTAGGGAACTAAAGAATGTCTGTAACTTTTCCTGCATTCATTCATCGCCATGCCTCTCCTGCTGGACACAGTGTTAAATTAGGGTGATGCTGTACTTTCTATAATAGGTTATATTCTTGGCATTTTGCCTTTATTGGATAATTCCAATAGAGATACACAGAAAACGGGGAAAAGTGAGAAGGGAAATGAGACGAAGCAAAGGCTGGAAGTTGAACCAGGGACTCAGCTGCCGAGGGCAGCCATGTGTTATACGCTGCAATCATTCAGCCATCGGGTCAACCTGGTACAGCCGTCCTCTGACAGAACCAAATATCTTAAAACCAGCAGAATAGAACTGATGTGACCATTTGTGGTGAAATGGCACTTTACAAATGAGAACCTCTTTTAGAGATTAAAAATTGCCCACCCCAAATGGATTATCTGTTTACATGCTTGTCATTGGAGACTGACACAGCAGGGTTAAGACCTTACTAAAAGTTCAGCTCCGTTATTAAAGACGGTGGAATGAGCTGTTAATTTGATTAGTGCCATATGTTGGCAAGAGACTACTAGCATGTCAGACATGTATCACATAACATGTGGACTTATAACATTTATAGTCTTTTTCTGCAAGTGTTGGTTCACAAATCTTAGGAACACTCAGAGCTACTGCCAGAGATGGTGTATAGGGGCAATTAAGTGTTATTTGTTATTGCGAACCACATTATTTCCCATGCTACACCAAACCCAGCATGCATTAGATAACAAAATTACCACTGTACAATGAAAGCTCGGCTTGCTTGGAGTTGGCTGGCCCGCCTACATGCCCATGCTACCCTGACACAGCTTACATCTTAAATGCTGAAAATTCTAATTACTGCAAAACAGAACAATGAACCCAGATACAAGGATGTATGCTTAATAGAAAGCCAGTGGTTAATCAGGGAGGAAGAGAGAAAGTGTGTGACAGAACGAGCTCAACACGAATACAGAGGACGAATAATAAAGAGATTTACGGGACACACAGAGGGCAGCTTATGGAGTTCTAACTCAATGCTTTCTCCAACAGAATCTATTCATTCGTCTCCTGTGATCCAACTGAGTTGGAGCTGTAAATCATACCACACTTGCTAATGCAGACCCTTAAAGGAAGTCAATAGATTTTAAAAATGTTAAGTTACAGACTGTTTAAGCCTAATTTATGATGACTATAATTGTGGTTTCCTGCTGTCAAAAAGTAAATACCAGTTCTCCCTATTCTTTCCTGCCCCCATGCCGGTCTTATCTAACTCTTTTACTCTGATCCCAAGGCGGAGGGGTTGATGAAGTGCTTTGCTCCCAGCCAGAAGAAATGAAGGACAGAGACCTGCAGAAAATCCCTTACCAGCTCTTCCATGCCTGTATGACTACAAGCTACCATTACCTGTTTGCTAACATACACCACCTGGAGTCTGAGAGGCTACTGCGAGGCCACACCCATGGCAACCATGCTCATCCCTCCAGCCACACTCTCCACGTCCCCATGGCGATGGGGGAGGGTTTTGGAGGTGGCGGGGGAGGAGGAGGAGGAGGAGCAGGGGGCATGACAGAGTGTGAAACCAAGCAGAAGCAACGGCCTGTCAACTTGCGCCACGCTATTGCCACGGTGATCATCACCGGTGTGGTGTGTGGGATCGTGTGTCTGATGATGCTGGCTGCAGCAGTGTATGGATGCGCCTACGCTGCTATCATGGCCAAATATCAGCGGGAGTTAAAGAAGAACGAGGAGTTGGCAGCAGCGCGGGGAGCGGATCATGCCACAGCAGATGAGAAGGAACCACTGGAGAATGCTATCGCCTAGGAGACGATAATACTAACCCTGGACTTCAAACTTGGGCCTCAACCCTTTAACCTACTCGTCTCTGGATGCCATGTGTGTGCATGTATGTTTGAGAAAAGAAAAAAAAAAAGAAGAAAGAGCGAGAGAGAGAGAGAGTGAGATTATTTATTTTTGTGTACGTTCACTTCATTTCTGAGACTTGGGTAGCTAAATTTCACAGGTATTTGACTATGCACTGATGAGAAGATTATCTTCTGCTGTATGCGGGTTTGAGGGGCAGGCCAAAGAATTCAAACATATAAATTTGATTTTGTCTGAGACATGCATATCAAAGATAGGAACAAATTGCTATATATTTATAATTGTGTACTTGTAGGTATAATAGTAAAGCTCTGGTATTTATAAAATGGATTTTAGAAGTTGGTTGTTGTCCATATTTTTGAGTCTGTTTTTGACGTAATTTTGAAAACTCATAGTAGGCAGCTGATGTCAGTTTTGTCCTAAGTTGTTCGTATCATTGATGTGAGCGTATGAGAACAAGAGTGAGACTGTTTATGTCAGTGTTTCATCTGTGCTTGAGCGTGCGTGCGAAGATGTATACTGTGAGCACATATTACAGAGAATTATGCGTCTGTGCCTAAAAACGTTACATAGCTTTGAGAAGGAAATATGTTTTCTTATAGGATATTTTTCTGACGACTGAACTGAAAATGGGAGATTCGTTGAAGCAATAATGAAACAAACTAAAATGAAAACAACAACAACAAAACCCGGACTCAGCCTTGTTGTTTTTCTATGACTTTAAAGGTTCATCAGTCTGAGTTATCATCCTGCTGTGCAGCACCACACCCACACACACACACACACAAACTTTTAGAACTACAGTTTTTGAGATCAGTGAAGTCTTGTTTGTTAGTGAGTTAATGCTGATTACATAATGGTAGTCATGTCCTTCAATATGTATTATATAAAATAAAAGAAATATTTTACCTGATTACTGTATGTATACTGGCAATTAATTTCAGAAGGTATGCATCTTTAAATGGGAAAACTATATGTAAAGGTATCTGGGAAAAAAGAGGACCAACTTTGGAGTGTAATTCTCAACCATTTACAACATACTAGGCAGCTTGATGAAGTGTCAGATTTTCTGCAGCAAACATTCTCTGATGAAAAAAGCCACAGATAGTAGTTCATGCCTCGGCCATGTACCGTACTCAATTCAATTATTTAAACAAAAGTTTTCAAATTCTCAGTTCGCGGGGGGAAAAAAATCAGGTAATTACATTTTTTTAAGGTTTGAGGTTTTCTGTGGGTTATCTTTAGATTAGTGGTTGTTTATAAGGGTCTCAGTTTAATGTGCTGCTGGCACATTTGTTGTTGGGTTTTAGAATGATCACGTTTCATCATTATTACATAAAATAGCCTGCAAAAATAGTGACACACACACACATGATTAAATGAAAATACTATGGGTTATACTTAGTATTAGGGGAAGAATTTGCGAGAGATAAGTGAGAATATATAAAACTTTTGTATTTTTGACATTATATTTCCCTTAAGGATAAAACCCAGCATTCCCTTTTTTTTTTTAGCATTGCAATGCATTGTTTATTTAATGCTATCTATCTATCTATCTATCTATCTATCTATCTATCTATCTATCTATCTATCTATCTATCTATCTATCTATCTATCTATCTATCTATCTATCCATCNTCTATCTATCTATCTATCTATCTATCTATCTATCTATCTATCTATCTATCTATCTATCTATCTATCTATCTATCTATCTATCTATCTATCTAATCAATAATTTCCTGTAATAATCGATTTTGTAGCTCATTCAGTGCAGTGTGAAGGCACATGAATGTAAACAGATGCCTTTGGTCCTGACGCCTGACCTGACTTTTATGGCTCTGTGTGTATTACGGCAGCAGACTCACTGCACGTGGATCAGGATGTGACCACAAACAGAGACACACACACACACACACACACACACACACACACACAGGCCTGTATGGATGCACACAGTAACATTGTGACTCAAGTGATGTCTGCAGGGCCCGTGGCGTGTGATGTCATCAGCCTGTCCTGTTAAGTTAGTGTATTAGCGTATTCACAAGTCTACAGCTCAGTGGAGCGCAGGGCAGTGAAAACTGGCCCTAACCGGCCTACGATAAATTTGCATTCTAGCCTACATCTCTCCTCCCATCTGACTCTCTTATATAAAATCACCCATACAGACATCCCCCGATCTGACAAGCATGATCGTCATTACTGTATATCAGCACCCACAGTAACAATAGGGTCTTGATAAATCCTTGGTGCTGATTAGTCACTTGGATTGGAGAGAATGCTATTATCTTAAAACAACAGTGATCAAGTCAACAGGGTCAAATAACACTGTGGGCTGGTGTAAACTGTGGGCTGCTTGTGCACCACTGCTAAAAATCTGATGCATACTCTGTGTGTGTGTGTGTGCGTGAACGAGTGTGTGTTACTATGCGCGTGCCGTGGCACCGCACAGACTCTCCCATCTCTGTCCTTCTGCTTCAGTGGTTTCCCCCAGGCCAAGACTACCCACAATGCACTGCTTTCATGTCAACGCATTCAGGCACCGTGAAATAATTTTTCTCTTTCTCTGCCCTTTTTATTTCCTCTCTTATTTTATTCCTACATTTCCAAAAAAGACGTTCCCCTTTTTCCTGTCTTCATTATTTCTTTTTTCTGTGGTTCCTCTGCTGGCATAATAAGCCCTCATACGTCAACAAGGGACACAGATAATCGAGTGAAGATGTGTTTTGTTAAATATTAGGCAAACATTGTGCTCCATATTGTTTTTGTGTGTGTGTTTGTGTGGGCAGTTGAAAGAATGGATCTAATTCACAACTGTACAGTTTATTTAAAAAGAATAATTCATTCATTCAAAACTCAAATCTGCTAGATGTCTACGGCTCCAAGAGTTGAACAACATGGAAGACACATCCAAAGGGAATGCAGAAGAAGTACAAGGAAAGTTGGAGACACCTTTGCCTGAAGAATAGCCCTGAGCCTCAAGTACATTGTCTGTAGCTATTTTCATAGTAAAGCCACTTTGTGCGTTTGTATATCGCACATCGTCTCGGTTTGGAAAATTTCACGAGCTATAATGAAAATGTCCAGCAAAGTGTAAATTGCTACAGATGTTGCGCAAAAAAAAAAACTCTTCCTTCAGATAATATCAATCAACTGTGAAACCATACGTACACACTGATTCTCCCATTCCGCCAGCCTCCTGTTTAATCTGCCGTTCCTTTCCTCTTTAACCGAGATGATGGCTAACAGCTACCATCAAATTACTGATTGCACGAAGCTGCATTATACGAGCATAAACTTGTGGGGCGTCTGAGTCACCAGGACGTGAGATGAGGGAGGCCACAAAGGAAAAAAATGCCAAAATATGCCCTGAAAAAGGCACGGAGGCAAAAAATAAATAAATAAATAAAACGCACAAAAGGCAAAACTGGCTTCATTAAATATATTTAGGAATAAATTCTCTTGGATTCAAATGCAGGGACAAACTTGCAAATAATAATAATAATTTTTTTAAAAAAGCAGCACAGTCAGAACATGTGGGGAGACATCTGCAGACCAGGAAACCAAAGCAAAGCAGCATAAGGAAAAGAATATTGCAGTTTCGATGTAGACGTGTGTGTGTGTGTGTGTGTGTGTGTGTGTTGGTGAGTGTGAAAGAGAAAGACCCACTTGAGTTCCCACTTACCCGCAGCTATGGGTGATTTCCTCTCATCCAGAAGCTGAATGGCAGTGCTGGCCAATACAACGCTCTTGTTTTCTGATCCTAAACCACACACATAAGCACACACACAAATGCAACCCACACACACACACACACACACAAACACACAAAGAGTTCACATCACAGTCATATCATAATTCCTTATATTAGTTCTGAACTGACCACAGGGTGTTTGGAGAGAGAAACACCGAACATAAATACCACGGAGTACTATTTCATGGCTACATAGCTTACTGCCGCAGTCCGGAGAGGAAGAGTGCATCTGAGGCAAGTCCAGTGAGTAAATAAGAGCCTTTCAGATCACTTGTATTAGCTGGCACTAATGGAAAGCCTGAGGCTGAGGACAGATGAGAACACATTCTCCCTTTGGAGGAACAACCTTTTTTTTTTTTTTTTTGGTTAAACTGAATATGCGCGAGGTGCTTGTGTGTATGTATGTGTGGCTTTTTGTGACTATGCGTGTGTCTCTATGTGTGTTCTGGGCAAGTCACTATGGAAAGGGCTGGACCTCTTCCTAACGTATCTTATTTCAACCCACAGCAATCAGTCCTATCCACAAGAACACAGCCCAGAATTAATAAGAGAGAAGGGGAGGTACGGACTCACGGCCAGAGAAAACGGCCAAATATGGGTGAAAGAGGAAAAGAGGGGACAGAGAACATTTTTAAAAGGTCCCACTAATAGAAGCAAGAGCGCTGAATTACTTGTGAATATGACAAAATACTAAATGACTACAAAACAGGTCTTGGTTCCAGACACTTGGTGGTAACAGTCTCATCAGTCACACTAGGAATGGCTACTGGAAAGTACATCTGACATTATGGGAAGAATCGTCGTCATCAAAATGAAATTCACGACTAACCTGTGTTGAAAGGCAGCGAGTAAACAAAGGTGCCAGGAACTTGTTCTGCCGCTCTCTTGTACCAAAGGGGAAAGTGATCGGCATTGAACACTCCCTCTTTGTCTTCAGCTGTCAGGAAGTCTCTTGAAGCAGACGGGAAACAGATGACACGATGGATGCGCGAGCAAAATGTAACACTGGAGACAATCAAACGTAAACACGCTTGGTATACATACTCTCGGCTTACTTACTGGTTTGTAAGTTCGTCGGGCACCACGAACAGGTTGATTCTGGACAGCCCTGTTCTTGTGCCCAGGTAAGCGATCTCCACCCCTTTATCAGAGTTCCTGTATAAACACATACATCAGCTTCAGAGAACAATTATAAAGAAAAGTGTTTACACAACCTTTTTTGGTCTTCTGTAATAGTAATTTTGTTGAATTATTAATACCATTATCATTTCAGAGAGCAAGAATCCCCTATGAAAGTGATCTTTGACCAACAGGATTTAGTTTGTGTCCATAATAAACAGCTTCCGTTTTCAAGGCCAACATGGAAAAACAAGAACCAAGTGGGTGACATACTCTGATTTATTGAGCACAAGGCTGGTCCAGTAGGCCTCTAAGGGGGCAGTCACAACGGCGTCAAACAGAACCTCCTGAATCAGCTCCTTGTCACCTAACAAAGCAGAAGGCAATAATGCATATTTTGCGTTGTCATCAACTTGCCAAAACGCACAAAAAAATATCAGTGAATATCAACCGGCTGTAGATGAGATGGACTAACATTGTAGGTGAGGTTCGTGTCCACTGAGGTAAAGTTTGATCGCTTCTATCTGCGACAGGTAGCGGTGCTCTGGGTGCTCGTCTGTGTTGCAGTATGTCCTGGAACATGTCAAGAGTTGAAAATATGAACGGGTTATAATAATACATCACACTCAGTTATACCAGACTCCAGAGAGTTTCCTTTCAAAACTGATTTCTTGGCTAATTGCTGAGTATCTGCTTAAAAATGCAATCACTACCTTGGTCAGACAATCTAGTTCTGTTGTCTTTGGATTACAATGCATCGACAGTGATCCAAAACAAAGATCTTTTTTTTTCTTCATTTACAAGGATTAGTTTGAAAAGCGTTTACTCTAATGTGTTTAAATGCCAGTTCCCAGTCTTAGCGACCACAAGTCATCGAGTGACACAAACACTCCAGTCAAACAGACGTTTCTAAAGATCCCAAAGCTGTAAAACTGTTGTACTGCACCAAAAATCCTAATTCTGATTGACTTTATAATTTGGCAGTATATTTAGGATACACTCCAATCACAATGTCACTTGAATACGAGAAGAGGATGATATAACACCGTCAGTACGCTCTCACCATTCGTCTGCCAGCGCCACATCAGGATGCTCCAAGTCATGAAGTCCTGTAACCAAATGAGACTGTCTCAAAAAATAAATAAGCAAAAGCACTCAATGTGAACTCATAATAATAGGGGAAGGCATCTACATCTCAAATGCACACACTCTTAAAACACACACTCGGGGTGAAAAATGTGTTTTTTGAATGGATGTGACAGGTCTGATTAGATCAGGAAGAGCCAAGTCATGCTCAGAGGGCTCTGCATGATAGACATGTTTAGAGAAACACACAGACAGAGTATCTCTCACACACACACACACACACACCACCGCTACATGAATATTAACATGCATGAGGCTTGACATGAAAATAGACATAAACACAAGGAGACACACACATGCAGGGGAGCACACTGTCGACACACATAACACACCTACAGAGCTACTAAAGAAATATTTAACTTCCTGCCCAGTTGTGGCTTTTAAATTCATTATCACTGTGTTTCTACTGAATATATATGCAAGGATGTCTGTGTGAGTGTAACAGACATGTTTGTGCAGAAAATAGGAGAAAGCAAGACTATGTAAAGAATTACATATATTTAAAATTATAGTCAGATGAGTGGTGGAGAATAACTAAGGATGTTTATTTCAAGGGTTGAATTTTATGCTACATTATACTTATAATCTAATATATTTCATAATGCCACGTTACTACTTAAACACCAGACATGCGATCAGAGTATATGCATGATTACTTTATAATATGGTAATTACACAACATGGTACAAAGTAGATGAATGCTGTTTCACTTCAGCTGGGTACAACACAAAAAAATGCCTTAACCCATAAGTAATATTAACCTTTTAACATCCACCTCATTTATACTAAAAAAGCTAGAAAAGTATTCCAGCGAAAATCACCTGCAACATATCGCGATTCAACAAGTACGTGCCCATATAGGCCAAAAAAGGAAAAACTGTTGTTTTCCTGTGTATGCACGTTTATTACACAGAAAGCAACTGTTCTAGCTAAACGCTTCTAACGCTAAATTATTTTGTGCTTTCAAACGATGACTTAGAATGGCCAAACACCATCCAACATAGAGTGGTAGAATTTTATACTAGGCCCATGTTTGGTTCGATGAGTTTTAAGAGGTTCACCCCATTAACATAACAATATGAAGATCTGAAAGACAACATGAATGCTTCAGCTGCAATACTTGCAATAGTCGTAGTAATGTTGGTGCGAATTCCTCTAATTGCTGAAAACATGCAATTACACTATACACTGATGTGTGCTTCAGAAAAAATATTCTTCTTTAAAAATACAAAGACATAAAAACCATAATAATGTCAAAGACTAGAGTGCTCTCTATAGGTTTAACTGAATTAACAGGAACAGGTCCAGACAACTTAATCAAGTCATTATTGGTTGTGATTAAGCAACGCAATAACACCCGTCTGTTTATTCCTAAATAAATAAATGCTACAAAAATTTTAGTATTGTGTGTGTATTTTGATTGAGTAAAACCTAAAGCAGAACTACTTTACAACTACTATATTACAGCATTGTATTAATGTACTATAATGGTAGTGTAATAGCACTACTATATGCACAGTGTGGTATTGTGTGTTATTGTTCAGAAATCTGAAATCTTCCACAAAGACATAGAAAGAAAATCGAAAATGATGGAGAAAATAACAGACAAGCCATGAAAAGATAAATGACTTGCCATTTGTTTGATAGAAACAGAAGAATATCGGGTCCAAATGAGATAATGAGAGGAGATGATTTCTTACCTTCCTCCACTGTGACATTGCCTCTGAAGAAATACTTTCCATGGCCTCTAGAAAGAGCAACTCCTAGACTGAAAAAAAACAAAAAAACATCTTTTCTTAAAAAAACAACTCACCAATTATCTGTTTGCAGAGACAATTGAGGGACACTAATGTTTTAATCATTGCAAACTTTGTTCACTGCTTACAGAAATGTCTCCAGCCTTCTTACCTGAAAGGAGTCCCTTTGATGTCTGTGTAGTAGTAATCATTGTGCAAAACCAGCACTCGTCTCTGAAATAAAAAAAAAAGATTAATATCTTCTATTAGACGTTACAGTAAACACTGGGCAGTGTGATGACAGTTATCTGATGGGATTCCTTGCAATGTGGCTCCATCTAGTGGCAGAGGGAGTGCATGCTTGTGGTTTGCAGCCCAACCTGTAAAGCTGCAGATTGATGCGTGTTTTTTGCTGTGTGGATATTTGGATAAAGATTGGGAATATGCCCGTGTGTATCTGTGTGTGTGCATATGTGTGTGTGTGTGTGTGTGTGTGTGTACACTCTAGTGTGTGTGTCTTAGTGTGTATGTAGGTTTATACATACTGAATGCTTAATAATCAGGCAAATGTATAATGCTCTTTGCTAAGCTTATAAAATACAAAATGCACACACACCTGAATGTCTCTCTCTCTCTCTCTCTCTCAGACAGACAAGTACTAAAACTGAATCACTGGGTGGCTCTTTCCCCCATATTCAGCAACATGTGCTGGGTAGAGATAAGGGGCTCACACACAGGGAGGCACACACCAGTGCATGCAGAGCAAACCAAATCAGAAACAAAATCCCCAAGTCAAGCCTGTACATCACAGTGCCAAGTGTAACAACCCCTTGGCAGAGTGGATTCTCCCTGCTGGGTATTTCCTCTGGCACACCTTTGGGGACCATCTGAAAAGCGCTTGTTTGTGTGTGTGTTTGTGCATTTTTGCAATTTTGGGTTCCTCACCCCTTTGTCCACACTCTTCTTCACCTCCATGGAGAAGGTCCCTGTCTTCCTGTTGACCATGGCATTTCTCAACTAGAAAGACAGAGCACACACACACACACACACACACACAGTCTTGTAGATCAGACTGATATTCAGAGTGGAGCTGTGGTGATGCTTAATGTAGATTTAGTACTGCAGCGTCTCACCGTGTCATCCTTATCCTCCCATTCCACCTCAGACAGATCCACGCTGCTGTAGTTTGGCTTCCTTCGCTTCTTGCCATCTCCGTACTAGACACACATGCATGCACAAACAGATATACTGAAGAAAATACAACAGAAAGAGCATGCTGTAGTAGGGTTATATTATTACTGACATACATGATTAATTTTCTGTCAGTTAGCCTAATGAGTAAAAGAATAGTTTGATGAGTAAATTTGATACTCTCATGTGTCTCATGAGTGTGGAGCTAAAGGCAGGAAATGGTTGGTCAAACTTAATTTGCTTATTTAATACATAAACAGAGGTTAAAATGAAACCTTTTGGTTTGACAGGGAGGTACATTCTAACTGCTTCTAGTTCTGGGCTTGGTGCAGCAATGACCAGGAGTCTTGTGGTTGCAATATCTCCTGTTTTCATTACCTAATAGACAAAAATCATCATGGTTGTAGTCTGATGTCACTTCAGAAACGGTAGTCAGAGATATAGACATTGGCAATCAGGCAACTGTGAGCAAACAATCTCTGGAGCTTTGTCACTTTTGCACGGGGGCATTAATGCCAGCGGCTAGCACTGGAAGGCCACTGATAACGTTCAGGAACTTTGGCAGTGATAAAACGCACAACCGAGTCTTGCTGTGCTACAAGCACATGTAAGAGTGCTGTACCCACAGCTGATAAGCCGCAAGATGATGCCAAGAGGGTGAGAACGACTCGATAGACAGGTGAAGCTGAGAGTAAAACTAAAAAAAATAAATAAAGAAATATGTATTTCAACTTGAGATGTCAAGAGAGGGTTTCCTTAGCTGAGATACAACGAAGAGATGCACCGTGTAAAATGTGCAGAATATAGTGTAGCCGGTGCTGGCAACACAAAGTTTGCAACAGCCTCAACAAACTACATGAAGCATGAAACTTTAAAAGTGCCAATGACTGCAAGAAGCCCTAGCTTTAGGCAGTTCCTCTTCCTACAAACCTTTCAGCATCAAAAGAGCACTAACCTGGCCAGTGAGAAAACGAAGCTGTGTGTTAAATTATACAATTCACTAAAGACGAGATGCTTGTTACTAAATTGAAATCAGAATTTCTGTAGATTTCTCCAGAAAAAAACAAAACAAAAAAATGTGCTGATAAATTGTGTTTAATGTCATTTTGATGAGAAGTTTTCTGTCTGTTCTTGACCAATTGGATATGATCTGTGTTTTGTTCTGCATTACTACAGTGTTGCACTTCATCTCATACAAGTCTGCACCAATTAATTCCATCATAAACATGCTCATACCTCATGGAAAAGGAATTTGAGACACAAAAGAAGTGGTTGAATCTGGCACTAGGACTGGTGGCTGGTGCGCTTAAGACACTTGGTGGCACCAGTGCCACCTGTGGGAAAATTTGGTCTGGACCTCTGTCTTCTTAAATGTTTTAGCATCACACCAGCACTCGTGACTTTTCCTTTAAAACGACCTAGGCAACAATTTAAGATTTTACCAATTTATGTATGAGTGCTGTTTGTTTTTCTATCATTAATGAGAAGTGTTTTAGATTCAGTGCTGTAGGGATAAACCATTGCTCAGTCCTTCCATCAGCTGGCTGTCTGGTGGGCCCACCAACCAGTGTTGATGTGAACATTAAAAAAAGGTGAAACAGGCCACAGCATTGGACTCATCAATTGCAATTAATGTGTCTACTATATGTGTGTAGTTCTGAATCTCCTTCTCTATTCATCTGTCATTGAGGACAACCTCCCACCCCTCATTAGTTGTTAAACACTGTTCATTAACATCTTTAATTAGACCACTTTTAAACCATCTGTCTGTCTGCCTCACTGTCTGTTCTCTCATCTCCTGCTTGTCTGTTCAGCCCTCAGTATCTCTGCATTTTCATCCCTGTGTTGCATCCCGCTTTGTCGCCCTACACCTATCCTCACATTAAGCAGGTTTCTTGCTCTCCTCAGCCTCCCTCTCTCTCCGTACACTCTCTCCCCTCAGCCTCTTGTGACAGGAGTGGGTGAGTACAATGGAGTTAATCACAGCCATTCAGAAGCTGTATCTCTGTCTATTCACAGAACAGCAGAGGCCTGGAACACACTCTCCTCATCTACATACCACCATGCAGCCAACACACTCATATGGCAAAGCACACAGAGCACCCACACAATTACACACCAATTTTCTATGTCAATCTCCATCTCAACAACAAAATCAGTAATTGACTTGACATGAACTCAAGAGTTAGTATTCCTCATCTGCTTATACAGTACCAAAAAACGTAATATATTTGAACTTCGGTCTCTGCATCTCAAAAGGGATTGTTATTGTAATAAGGTTCATACTAGGTTAACTTTTCACAGACCATCTGAATGGTGCTGGAGGTAATACTCACAAGTGGCCTCAAATCCGGATGGGTCAGGATGTAGCCGTTGTTGGTAATTGCAAAGGCATAGCCATGAATGCCCAACTAGAAGGAGACACGCACGAACAGACACAAAGACACACCAAATGGATGGATAACAAATCAGTATCCAATTGTAAACCTGAGCTAATCAAGCTCTGTAATTTGTACTTTCAGAATCTTGTTTTTTTTTTTGGAGTGAAACTCCAGAACTACACAATACAAAAGGATGGCGTCATTCATCCATTTCTGGACAAATCACACATTTTTAAATGTCAAAACCTCACACCCAGCCAAACGTGTGTAATTTTCCTGTCATTATTGGCCTCAAGGAAGGAGCTGTGAATAAGTGTGACACTTCAACAAAAAACTCAGATTTAACTGCTAACGTGTTTGGCATTCAGCTACGGCACTGCGGAGTTGAACTTGGCATATGGATGAACAAAGCACTCACAAAGTTCAGTCACGTGTTTCAAAAGATCCACGTTTGGCTTCGAGTGCACAAGGTGTGTCAATGTGGAGGGATGTCTCATATAAGATTTCTAGTTATTTGCAAGAACAACTAAGCAATGTTGGATGTGGTACCTTGTATTTGGGGATAGTCTTAAGCAGCTCTGACACTGGCACATCAGTCCCAACCACCCCGAGAAGGATTCCACGGTTTCTCTGGAAGCACACATATTACAAATATCTGTTTATGATATAAACATTTTAATTCATAATATATATTCAATTAGTGATGCTCTATTGTATCCTAATTTACAAACTCCAATGAAACTGAAATTAGTGTTCGTAATATGTCCCAACATAATTCGTCATTATTTCGTAGTTGCGTCTTTTCTCGAAAAGCCTAATTCCTCGTGGGTTATGAAATAAGTAATTGCATAGTTTTTCAATTAAACTGCAAGTTTATTGGAGGGAATAAATTGGAGAAACATGATGGTAGTGGCAGTGAATGTGCTGCTATAGCCCTCTACATGAACTTACAGTCTCATTCTTGGTACTGAACACTGGCATGGCCACTGTGGTCATCAGAACTGGTCCTTGACCGTCGTCCAACTGAGAGATGAAGAGTGAAAGGAAGCAGTTGAGAGGGTAAGAAAAAAAGAGAGAGAGACAGAGAAAGGGAGGGAGGGTAAAGAAGAACGTTAATGATGAAATAATATTGGTATAGTTACAAACAAAATGCAACTGCAGAGCGCATTGCATGATATCATGCATATTATATGAAACATCTCGCCTCGTCACACTCAGTGAGGGGATTTTTCAAGCTGCATAGCATCCGTTTCTTAAGCAAGGATGAACTAGGAGTTCGGCAGCAGACCTAGTCATATTATCTTCTTGAGGGACCCATAAAACTTCCATGACATGTTTTATTCATGTTTATTATTTGCCTTAAAACGTGTTCAATCACAGCCTGGCTTTGATCTCTTGCAGAATAAGCTTATCCAAAGGCAGCGCTTCTAGTTTGGATCTGGGTGTCTTCCCTCTCTAAAGACTGCTGGAATAATTATGATATTTATCTTTCCAGTGGCTGTCTGTATCTGATGATGATATCCATTAGAGATGAAAGCTTGACAATGTTATGAGGAGACTAGGGGAAGGCTTTGTACTTGATAAAAAATGGTGTGACCTTGTCCACCCAGAAACGTTGAAACTGCCTAAATTAAAGTCACTCATGTAGAGTATGTTCAAGTCAACACAAGTAATGAGACAAGTTGGGGATTTTAGGAGGACAAGGACTAAGCTGAACATTATTTCCCTCCTGGTAGGACAGGTGGATGAGTTGGAGGACTACAGATACCTGGGTATTCACCTGGACAATAGACGGGACTGGAAATGAAACACCAAGACTGTACACAGGGATGGACAGAACAGACGACTTCTTGAGCAAGCCTAAGTCCTTCAATGTGTGCAGTAAGATGCTGCACATCGTCTACTAGTCTGGTGTGGCCTGTACAATTTTCTTTGAAGTCCTCTCTCGAGGCGGCAGACAACTCTCGGAAACTGAACGAACAGATAGAGGAAGTTGGCTCCGTGCCTGGGACTGCTCTGGAGCCCTTAAAGTTTGTTTGTGGAGAGAAGGCTGGTCGACATAATGGACAACACTACACACATCCCTACACAACCTACTGGTCAGACAACAGAGTGTCTCCACTATAGGAGAGTCCCTCAGCTATGCTGTAATTAGGACTGTTACAAGAGGTCATTCCTGCCCGCTGCGATAGCTACTTACAATGACTCCTGTCTGTGCTGGGAGACGATATTCCTTCTCTCAGTGGCAACACACATTCGGCACATTTTGCATTCAATCACTAGGAGCATCTACTTTTACGTTAGTCAGACTTAAATACAGAATAGTATCTTTTCTTTAGGAACTATCTCATTTAACCACACATCTTAACTGAGCATCGCACACCTCCCGTGCATTCTTCTTCCTCCAGTGCTCAACCCTCTTTACTAGCAGTAATAATAGGTAATGACAGGAAACTGTTAGTATCCATTCTGTCTTCCTCAGACACCGGGGAAAGGGGAATTGGTGACCTCAGCGCAGACAGCTGGTAATAGCAATCCAGAGCACAGTATTATACATCAAAGAGAGAACAAAGCACACCTAAGTACAGCTGCAGCAACAATGGACAGCCTTGCTGCTGGAGAATGAGATCGATCAAAAGACAGGGGAAACGAGCCGAGAATCATCTAAAAATACAAAGTCTATTTTCAAGCTCGGGTCTATTGGATCATATATCACTGGTCTGTAGACGTATGGCATGGTGTATGGCATCAACTGTTATTTAGCACTCCCATCAACGCGCACTACTCACACATGAAGATGAATCTAAGATGTTATATTTTCAGTGTGTGTGTGTGTATTGGCGGAAATCAGGCCTGCCTAACTGCTTTGGGAAATGACATACTGTAATTAAGCAGATAACAAGAGCTTCATGGAAAAAAAGGTGGCCAGCATCTGTTGGCTTCGAAACCACCATCACGGCTACAGATGATCCTCGCTTACCCCACCAAGGGGATAAAAGATCTATGAACTGTGCTGCATTTCCCAAACCCAGGAAAGGGAGGATGACTTTTCTTGAGCCCTGAGTCAGCATCCTCCAACATGGCCATGCCCCTGAGTCCCAAAGGGAGTGCACTGTATCTGGAATTTGTCATACCTAACACACAACCTCTAACGCAAGGTCAGAACTCTACAAACATTTGGTCCACATTTGCATCATCACTGCCACTATGGTTTTGTCTGTATCAGTTGGAGTAAATGAGCTGTGTAAGTACTTTCCCCTGCTGTGGGTCAGAGAATGGAAAAGAATACTACTGGGCTTTAACACAGTTGACACCTCACTGACACAAATACCAACACGCTTACAGCCTTCAGAGGGCTCAGATCCACACCCCTGGCCTGTGTTTGGTGTTTCATAGAACACCTCATAATCTAGGTTGCGGTGACAAATTGTGTGCTGGTAGACGAGGTGACCCTTGTTTCCTTGGAGACCAGGTTTAATGATGTTGGTGAGTGTAAGCACTCGAGCCAAACCGCCCGTCCTCGGTAGGCTCCAATGGAAAAACTAAAACAGAGCCTATGGGGACCAGAGCTGGCACGGATCCAGCAAACATTTTTACTGCACAGGTGTTTTGGAATTATCTAAGAAAGCTCTCACTTACCTCAATCAATATTAACACTTTTGCTTTGAAATAGCAGAGTTTATATTCATTCGTCATGACATTTTGAACAGCTCACTTCTTTAATTCATCATCAAAAGGTAATCAACTGCTCCCAGCTCTCCCATTTGTCTGTCTTCATGCTTAATCAAGTATCAATCTTGTTCTTTGAACTTCTGTGCAAAAAAAAAAACCTCTTCTCTCAACCCCACAGCCATCCCATCCTTCCCAACGTTTGCAGAATTTTTTTTTCTTCAAATCTCCTACATTCTCACTTTAACACTCCCTACACTTGTCCTCACATTACACACTCCTCACCCCTCGCCACATTCCTCTCACCCCCTCCCACCTCCCTCGCATCATCCCTGAGCTCCAGTGTCAGTTCATCCGGCAGAGTGGGAAACAAAGTCAAATGAGCCAGAGAATGATGGATGAAGCTGGTGAGACGAAGGATAAGAGGGAGAGGGAAGGTAACAGAAGAGGAGAGCACAGGTGGAGGGAAAGACCTGGAGAGGGAGAAGCAAAGTGAGCCACAAAAAAAAAGAAAAGGGAGATAAGCTTGAAAAGAAAGATTATTGGATTGCAGTGAGAGGGATACGGAGGACAGGAAAAAGATAGCGCGAACGTACATCTGGAAAGATAATACGCATCAGCCCCTGAACACAAATCCCAAATGCTCATCACTTTTCGAACACAGAGCCAATCCCAGGGGTTTGCTAACTTCTTATCAGACACTATCACTGTGCAGGGTGTGTGTGTGTCTTCCTGTCACTGTCTGCTTTACTTTCAGGGGACTGTTGTGTATGTGCCTGTTCAGAACACCCAGGCCAGAGCAGTGCTGGGATGATTGCATGCAAAAAAAAAAAAGCAGCAAAGATTCCTTGCTAATCCCAATTATCATGTCTGAAAATATGTTATCTATTTTAGTTTTCTGCTGAGTTGTTTCGATGTCAATCAGCATGGGTCTATCACACCAACAGTACTATGTCAGACATATGGCCTGCCAGCTGTCTAATGCGGCTGCTCTGTACCCAGCTCATGCTGATGGGGAGGCAGAGCGCTCTTTTGTTCTGCCACCATCACTGTTATGATTATAGAGCTGCTTATCTCAACCCACATATGATTCGTAAATCACAGAAAAATAAAGCACTGAAAACGATAAAAAGGCATCAGAACAGATCATCCCGCCAGTCATTATGGACTATTGGATTTTCACCCAGAAGATGACAAAACAGCTTATTCTGGAGAATTCTACCAAAACAAATAACACAGGCAATCTTGTTTTCACACCAAAATCACACAGGCCAAAGAGCAAAATGTAGCCTCACATTTACACACATAATCACACTGCCAGCTCCGGAGATACTGGCAAAGCACGGCTAACGCAGCATCACCACTGATGAATGAGCGTGAGTGTGCGTAAAGACATGTGCGTATATTAAATCAGACGTGCAGAGGAGAGCGATCAACTGAACCAACAACAACCGTGAAGTATGGCTTGAATCAGGGGGGTTGACGCACAACATATGACACTGACACACAAGAAAATGCCACGGGCCGGTATGGTGGTTAGTTCACCCAAATAATGCCTCATCTCACAGATATCAGAGACCAGAATGCACATGCACACAAAAGGCACATGGACACACAGCAGGCCTCAACACAGCACAATACAACGATGGCCTCAAACCAGCAGTTTTTACCTTTTGCGCTTGGGGGAGCTAAGGAGAGTAGATTAAGGAGGAGAGGAGGAGGAGGAGGAGGAGGAGAGAAAGGGTCAATACATTTGCGAATATGTGTCAGAAAGCCTTTCAGTGCATTTTCACTGAACAGAGTGCCAGTGGGTGTATAAAATTCACTGACATTGACTTTGACTGCAACTTAAAAAACAGTGACTGTGTCAAGAGAGGAGAGTTTTATGGCCAAGAGGGTCACAGCAGAGGACGCAACACTTTAGCCATTAGTTCTAGGTCAGGGTTGAGTGTATGCACTAACTATGATAAATAGACATGGATAATGAGGACAAAGAGAAAGAAGTAAGCAGAGAAAGACATAAAAGGGTAAAACACGAGGGAAATGAAGAGGATTGTAGAAAGAAACAGCCCATTTTCATGTTGTGTTGATAGCCTGTGGGTTTTCCTGGTAAAGGGCAGTTACCTCTGCTTCTTTACATTATCGCAGCTCACGCTCTCTGGATGTAAAAAGAAACTATAAAAAACAAATGGCTGCTATTTTCATTTCATGGCCAAACAAAATAAGTTGAACAAAAAAAGAACCGTAGTGGAAGCATTAATACCACAGTACGTTTGTGCGTAGATTATATATTGCAGAGGATTCTCTCCTGCAGGTCAGTTATTATCCTTTGGGGTGTTTTAGAGATGATGATGTCTATGTCACTCAACTTGAAATCATGTTCTGGGGATTAGAGCATCTGCGTAGTTCTGTTGAGGAATATTATTACAAAAATAAATGTGCGCCATTATTCATTAGCATTGTATAATGTGTGTGTCTGTGCATGCTGGGATGCGGTATGAGGTTGGGTGTTCGCAGACTAACTCACCAATGTTCTACTCGAGCTACAAAACTCCCAAACACACACAGGAGGCTCATTTACTTAATGGTTCCATCTGCTACACATACACACGCACACTTTCACAGTCAGACATACAAAGGCAAAGCACATCGTCGTCCCACTGCTTCTGTTGTACCGCCACTACTTCTCATTTGGATTATATAATTCCCCCATCCTGAAAATGCAAATTTACTTCATTGAACAAAATCTTAAACAAAATGCATTGCGGATTAAGTTTCAAATCTCTCAGTCCATCACAGAATCTTCCAGATCCAGTGTGTGCACAACCGAGTGAGTGTGTGTGTGTCCTGAGTCCAGTACCATGGGACGGTTTGGTCAACTCACAGTGCTGTCGATGTACGCCTCCGTCCACACTGTGTCGTGTTCCCGGTCGATCACCTTGGGACGACTCAGCACATGGAGATACTCCATCACGTTCTCTTGCACGTCTGCCAGTGTGGAAATCTGAGTGAAGTAGCCTGATTGGCAAAGAGAGCAGCAACAAAGAAAAGATTATTCTTAAATTGAAGTAGATTAATCATCTAAAGTGTGTGAACAGGTTCAGATTCCTAACTAACTATACTGCTCCCATGCTTTTATTTTACTTATCTTGGTACCGAAGCAGAGAAGCTACATGTGGAATACAGAATAAAAGACAGCAGATATTTTCTTGATGAAGCAGATGGATCCCTATATGAGTAATGGCTAAAAAATCCCCTGCAATAATGCTCGAGTGAAGAGCAAACCAGCATGGGTTTGTGAATGGGTAAGTGGAATGTAAATGTAATGTAAAAACTATCTGAGTTAAGCCAAATGTGATGCCATTTCCAGCGATGGTAATGCGGCCATTATGATGCTAATGTGCATGTGGAGGAGGAAATATACAGTTATCTCAGCAGGGGGGGACAGAAAAAGCGGGAGAGGAAGAGAGAGAGAGAGAATCAGGACAGCAGAAAGACAAAGACAGAGGACAAAAAGTGACACAGTGAATAAAAGGAGAGAGACCACCACATTTCCACCCATCTGTAAAAACAGCAAACTGCCTCCATCACCGTGAGGCAGTCAAGTAGAAAATCATAGCTGGAGGAAATAGATTTTGGGGTCATCGTTCCCATCAACAACCTTTACACCACAGGGAGAAAAGAAGCACAGTCTAGACACAATACACAGATACATGATGGATGCTATGCGTTACTCCCAAATAAATATTAACAAACTATTACAGATTATCTCAAATTAAATCTATGACCCCAGCAACTAAAAATCTAATCAGAAGGCTAACATCTTATATCAAGCATTAACATAAAAAGCATGAAAACCACAGGATTACTGCAATAGCTACAGCAACAAGAATGCGCTTGACTCTGAACTTGACCTGGAAGTGAACCTTGACAGATTCCTTCTTTTCATCCTCAGGAGACATTTGGATTTGGCTATTATTTCACTAGAGAGTACAAAGAGAGCACACACATACAAACTCGCATTACACACAAAGCAAGCTGTCTCGGTCTAACTGCATCGTTCATCACGGTGGTGAGTCAAGAATGACTGCTCCCTCTGGAGGGCTGAGGGCGTCCTTCGGGCTGAGCCACTGGGGCCACTGAGATGGGCTGAGGGGGAAAGAAAAATGAACGCTCCCTGCAGTCGGTGACATGGTACACCTGTTGTACATACACGACAAGCCACGGCACAGCTCCGGTCAGGATGAGGTGCATTCATTTATTTTTAAAGGACCTTGGTTTGGGTCAGGTGTAAGCAAAAAATACACAACAAGGTGTCCTGATCCATGAAAATAATGGATGAGGTGGAAGTGAAAAATGTGTCACGATGGTGAGGCAAAGCTATGCTATACTGCAAAACCATGCAGGAAACCCCACACACACCACAATACATGGTTTTTGTAAAAATAACTTGTATGTGTGCACTTGGATTTGAAAGCTCTGTGGCCCATCTCCAGTGCTGACATGACAGATAAAAGTCTGTGGTTTATTTCATACATCGAGTCTACAAAGTCAAGTAAGTACTGGCTGACCTTAGCAATCCTTCACAAGCGCTAAATGAGGGAAGATGCCAGAGAAAGGAGCACAGAGGATTTGTCAACCTAAATGAACTGAAACCAACTAAGCTCAGCATACAGTTGTTAAAATGAGAAGAGGAACTGTGTCGAGTTGGCCGAGCTACAGCGTCGAGAAAACACTAAAGGAACAAGAGGAGCGATGGTGGAAAGTTAAGGAGCTTTTCTACAACAGGAGCTTAATGACCCGTAAATGAAAGCTTCCCATAACTTGCATCATATGAGAACTTCTAGGCAAAAGTGGTTGTCTCTACCTTGTTTTTGTTTTTTTTTATTCTGTTTTACAAACTAGCAAGGATAGGATGTACAGCACCCTCAAAAAAATCTAAGTAACTCTCTTCTTTATCCATCCACACATACCACATATTATATTTGTCGTTTTCTCAAACTTCTTAAATCCAGCCTTCTTCTCATCTCAGCCTGATCCAAATTTAAGCTCTTGAAATGCCCCCTTTTTCTCTCTCTCACTGCACTCATCTTTATCTGTCTGGAAAAAAAAATCAACTTTGGGGGTAACAGTAAGATCCAAAAGAAAACTTGATTAGGATAAAAAAGGTCAGAATTCAGAAATCATCATCCACATACAGAGATGATTTATTTACGAGGAGACAAATAAAAGACTATTGTGAGCAGCAAAATTGTCCTCTGGGTGAGGTCCCAAGAATCTGAGACCACATGGAAAATCTGTCATAGTTTAATTTAATTTAATTTTTTCATGTTTTGCTCTTGGTAATGCGCAACTCTAGATAATAAACAGAAGCAGAAGCGATTCACAATCAAGACACAGTACTATTTACACACCCCCAGGAGAGGAAAAACTTACTTTACCTTCTCCTTAATCAAAACGTTAAAAAAAAGAAAAGAAAAAAAAAAAGAAAGATGCTCTGCACTTACAGTTACTTAGCAATCAATACTTCCAACAACAGGAAGAAAAACGAATCAATAGCTATACAAAATAATTCACCCTTAATTAAAGAAGTACTTTAACTGACAACTCCAATTGTCCAATTATTCTTTCTATGTGCAGTTTCTTCAACTATCTATCTATCTATCTATCTATCTATCTATCTATCTATCTATCTATCTATCTATCTATCTATCTATCTATCTATCTATCTATCTATCTATAGATAGATTTTTATGCCAAAAATGTGATTTTAAATATTCTATTCTTTGTTGATGTAAACAAAGAAATGAAATGATGGTGGCTGCTACGTTATTGTATTGTTGTAGCTGAGATATGGCAACAGAATTGGACCAATCAGAGGCACCAACCCAGCAAATGCCCATCCACCTTAGTGCATTCTACTGCCGGGTGCCAAAAACTAGCTCCCAGAACTAATCTCCAAAGTAAACAGGGAACCACTTCCCTTTGCATGTTGATCAAATTCATACCTTGTGTGTATGGCCTGTTGGTAGTTAGCACAGAGAAGCCTTAGAGGTAACTGTATCTCCAAAAATCTAAAAGCTTTTGACAGCCTTTGCAGAATCTAAACAATATTCTTTGCTCCAATCAAAGCCTATAGGGTGAGGTTTTGTCACAGATGCCAGGGCAGGCAAGGTGACACACTCAACTTCACTTGCAACACTATTTAATGTAAAATAGCAAAGAAATAAAAACAAAATTCTGAAAGAAGTAATAAATACCTAGAGAGCAAAGAGAAAACTGTTCTATGCAGCTTTTGCAGGCTTGAGAGGATGTCACTGTCACAAGGCTGAATCATCATCTGGTCCACACACATACATGTAGGATGACACATGTGGTCTTGACACACTCATAGATATAATACATTTCATAGCACCTTTGCCATCGCCTTAACCAACGACAGTGAATGAATAACCTTAACCCCAAACATAAAACCAAGTCTCCACTCTCAGAAAGCAGGCTCTATCCGTAGGGACCTCAATTTGTCTCCCCATGAGACATGTGTCCCTGTGGGTTGGTGTGAATTCAGGTCAAAGTCCCCACAGGGATAGAAGAACGAGACCACATACACAGATGCTTGCATGCACAAATGCACACACTGGTCTCATCATCACCACTAACACTCTCAAACTGACTGGATGGGTTCTCTAATATCACGTTCGAGCAACACTGCGGATGCCCTTGTCTTGTATTTTCACACATACATACACACACCCACACACACAAGTAGCTAAAAACACACGCCCACCCTTTGTGTGACCTGTGGCTTGCCTGTCTTATCTACTGCAGCCGGAGGAAATGGAGCCAGACTGTCTCTGTCACCCACCTCCCAGCTAAATTTAGAACCTAAAGGAAAGTGCTCAACGCTCTGAGACAACCATGACCACACACAAAGCAGCTCGAAAGTCATGTATCGGCGTTGGTAGTTTGGACTTCAGGCTTAGAGGAAGATGAAGTAATGTGACATATCTGGTCTGTGCAACTGGAACCAGCTGCCTGCTGTCACATACACATGCTAATACTGATGAGCACTGACAGACACATGTGCCAAACACCCCAAACAAATCCTGAGCTCCATAATGTATTAATTTTCCCCCGGCTGACAGCAACATGCAGCAACTTTCCTCCGCAAAAACAGATTATAAGCAGGAAAAAAAAAAAAAAGTAGAGCAGTCCATGTGTTGTAAGATCCCACCTTTGTTAGCACATGCCATCCATTTCAGATTATCTGCAAAGGCTGACTCTCGACCAATCAGGTAAGGGAATATGCGGACCTGCGGGAAGAAAGCAGATAGCTTCTGTCAGTCATTTTAATCGCATTTTGAGGGGCCACTACACCACCATATAGAAAATAACACTATCAAAGCCTGGCAAAAGGCTCAGTCTTTATCTAGCAGTGATTAGCAAGTCCTTTCGCCTTACTTAATCGAGTCGATTATGGGCTGATGAAATTGAAAAATTTTGCTTCGGATTTCATTTAAAGTTTAAATAATTCAAATATATATATATTTTTTAATCAACTCAACAAACTAAACAATTAAGGATGAACAGATACAAGCACTGAAATAAGATAAGAGTATCAAGAATCTGCAACTGGATTTAAATGCAAAGCCATGAAGTCAATATTTGGAGTTGATAACACAAGCTTTACGTGCTCAATCCAGAGAATCTTCGAAACTCTCCTCTGCCAAGCCCATTTCTGCCCAGCAGTGCTCAGTTGGCTCCAGCAGCAGGTGTGGTTGGCAGGTGCATGTGTGTGGCGCACGAGTGTGTGTGAAGAGTGTCGTTGCCAGATTGGACCAGATGCAAGCCTCTGGGGGCACAGCTGCCATAGCTGCCATGCCTGCATTTTTCACTGCCTCCCTTCACCCTGACAGCATGTGTCTGTTTGTGTTTGGGTGTGTGTTGGTGTATGGACATCACACACACATGTGTAGATGTGGTTATGTGTACGTCTCGCACATGCATTTTATTCTGGATGAATGCGCTCAGTAGAAACTGCAAAATGTGTGCACTTAAAAAAAAAAGTATCTCTGAATTAAATGATCTTTATTTCATTGTGTGTCATCGACAATCTCAAGACAGTTTTACTCTGGATATTACTGGTCTATTGTCAAGCGTAATGCATTTCATTGAGAAGAAGTCAATTTGTCAGAATGTCATTTTTAAGCAGCCATTACTATCTTCACCAGAATCATCCTCTATTCATACGAACCTTAACCATTTGAATCACACTGCCTGAGAGACAAGAAAACACAACACAGCTGATACGATCATAACAGCTCCATGTAGAGTTATCGGAAATAGGTGTCACAGCGGGACTTTCTATTTGTGGTGAAATGTGGTTTCCTTCTCTGGGAGCCAAACTATAGCGAGCTGGTTATTAAATATAGAAGAGTTTTATAGCTGAGCTAAGTACAGCAGAGATTAAAACTGGCTCTTGCCATGACATGCAATCTTTAACATACTTGAGTGCACAATTTTTAACATGGCAGGAAAAAAATACAAATGCACACAAAAAATACAAAATATACAAACATATTGAACATCTGCAGGTGTTAATGCACTAATAGATACAAGACGAACTAATGACATGTCATCTTTTTATGTATGAAAAATACATTTGTTCATGCTCCCACATTATGTATTTAGCAGTCAACTCAATAATTTATTCAGTACTCCTATGTAAACTTTTACACCGATGTTAAAGTACTTCTGTGGGGCGACATGTGTACAAACCAGCAAAGCTAACAGTTCTGAGGTTTTCAGTCACATGCAATACACAGCTTGAGTTTCAATGTCAGATTAACCTGAATCCAAAACCCCATAAAAATGGTGCATAGTAATAATTTCTAAAATGGATTTTGTTTGTATACAGGCACTGTCTACTGGGGCTGATTATTATTCCATCTGAGTTACGATCAGATAATCCGGTTTTCCACAGAAAAGATGCAAATGCATACTATAATAACAACATAGCCGCTACTGCATTTTTTTAATGTAAAAAGCACTGATGCTTAGCAAGTATATTTTGTGGAGCACAGTGTTTTAAGGTAAGGCTCATTTTAAATGTAGACGGAGAAAGTAAATCAATGTAAAAGCCTCTAACATGGTATGAAAATGCATTTTTTTTAAATATATTTTTTTTCTTATTTACTTAATACACATAATAAGAAAAAGAAACACCATGAAATAATGTTCTAAGTCAGGCTGACAAAGTTTTTTATTGTTGTTTGTTTGTTTTTTATCAACTGTTAGCAAGCCTTTTATTTTATTCTATTTTATGATATGCGAGGCTTTCAAACTTTCAGGCATTAGCGAATGTGAAGACTCCGATAACCTTGTGCCACAATTTCTGGAGTTAGCAGCTGATTTTATTTCTCCTTCACAAACACATCTTTCTCATCTACTGCTCGCCTCTAATGAAATCTCTTATCTCAAAGTCTGCTTTTGTTCTACCATTACTAAAAGCTAGTGACCCACCACTTCTAAATGATTACAGGCCCAACTCTAATCAGCCTTGGCAAAGATTCAGGGATTGCTAACTTCTAATCATTTTCTTTTTTCTTTCTTTCTTTTTTTTTATCTGAACATCAATGAGGTATTTTTCAGGGTGATTTTATGAGAGCAGGCTGAGGTGTGTGTTAGAGTGTTTGGGTGAGAGTGCTGCCTGAAAGGTCTGTTCACGCAGAAACACCACTTGAGTTAAATAGTCTACGAATCTGGCTTTGACTCGGCAGAGTGAAGCCGTCTTGGAGGGCACAGTGTTTTTGGGCCTCGGGGTACATTCCTATTACAAACTCCCCACAGCAGAGGCAGACAATGTTCAGGGAGTACCTCTCACAATTCAAGAGTCACACTGAGACTTTTTCTCTATCATCCAGCCCTTATGGTATCACAGGACGTTCTGCTGGCTCTCCTACACATGCACTGTCCCTCTTGCTTGTGGGACTGAGCCCAAAGAGACTCTGGTAGTGGAGAGTAGTCCCAAGACAGTTATGGTTAGCTGGTTGCTGATGGGTCCACAGAAACAATGTTGGCAAAGGAAGGGCACCGTCGCTTCATGATGCACTGCCAAATGGTGGTGACAGATAAGGTATAGGCAGTGTACAAAGACAATGCACAAGCTGGCATGGGTAATGCTGTATGGAAGACAGCATATCAATCTCCTGACTCTGAGGGACATACATGTAGCTCCTTTTTAAATCCAGACAGTGCAGAGCATCTTTCAGTTGGCAGAGCTGTCTGGCTTTACTTTGCCTCTGCAGGATTGCTCACAGTTGTAGCTATGGGAACACCGCAAGACCCCACAATCAGCACAGATCTGTGCAGCGAGTTTGATGCAGAGGCCACTTTATAAATTGCAAATTATGTGACTCATTGTGGCCCAGATAGACTTTTTACCATATGATGGAGGAAAGGATTTTAACAAAGAAGAAAACAATACTGTGAATCACACAGCACATTTCAAAATGAATCTTCAAATGACTACAGTGGCTCATTAGATGTAATATACTGCTTTTTTGGCCATGAGCAATATCAACAAATACCTTTGACGGCATTTGTGTGCAAGGCAGGCAGGTGACTCAGTCAGAGATGGGCACAGAAAAGGCTGAAGAAAATTTTCAGTGTTTGCACCCAGTGATCAACTTTAATTGCTTTTCATCTGTGCCAGCTTTAAAAAAAAACAACAACAGCATTTTTTCATTATACACTGATGGCACAGCCCAGGTTTGTGTCCCTGAGGGTTGTCCATGTGCCAAACACAAACAATCTAACACCAGATCAGCTATCTGGGGACTTCGCAACTCAGGAGGCTCAGGTGATTGATGGAATCTGGCACCACTGTAGATAGGAAGTGGTTGCTTTTTTTGAGTAGAGAGAGACCACCATCACTGCTCTAATCAATGCCATATATTTTTAGCCTTTCCTGTTTTATTTGACTTCAAAAGATGGTGAGATTCCCAATTCGCCATCATCAATCACTGCCTTTATCAGGGCGTACAAGATAAGGGCACACACTGAGCTGCTGAATTAAGGATGACATGCAAAGTGTTTCAAAAGATTACATTGGCGAGGAGTGTTTGCATGCATGTGTGGGTGTGGAACCATGTCAACATTTATGTGTGTTGACTAGTACGTGGCAGGTAGGCATGAATGTATGAAATGTTGGGTGCGAGCATAGATGTGAATGTGTTGTTTCATTAAGTCATGTACTCTTATTTGTTGTTTTCACTAAAAGGAAAGATTGGGATCATAATCACGCCACAGAAATCTTTAATTAAAATGAAAGAGCAAAGGCTTTGGGAGTACAACATTTCACATCTTTGTGTTGACTTTTATGATGTATATTATGTTTTTCGAGGTCATGCGACAAGGACAACTGCAAACCAGTTAATAAAACCTTTTTTTACAAAAAGCAGTCATTTGAAAATCATGACAGTCTCACTCTGAAAATAATTGCTGCTGCAACAGAGAGAAAACCTCATCATGTAACGCGTTTTCAGTTGTTTTTCAGACTTTTAATCAGTAGACACCGTTTCATAGCAATTAATTCCTTATGATATGTTTTCTTTCTTTTAGAATAAATGCCATCCGCATAAAGATATTAAATGAATTATATGCGTTCAGTTTTCACAAAGCCTGCCTGTACACTCAGTGTGACGCTATGTAGCGGTGAAACTATAAGGTTGGTTGGAAGGAAGCCATTAAAAAATCAGCAGTGGAGGAAGAGAGAGAGAGAGAGAGAGAGAGAGAGACTGGAGAGAGTGACAGAGACTGAAGACTTCTATTATCAGCGGGGCTTCTTCTAAATGGAACTATCTAGCAGCCTTGTCCCCTCTCCGCTCACTGCTGTTCAGCCTTGAGGCAGGAGTTGGTGGGAGGGGTGGTGGGCGGTGGGGGGCTGTGAGTGTTTTGTTTTTTTAATACAGACCATACCAGACACACACACAAACACAATGTGCTGGTGTAACATTAACAACAACTAAAAGGCGGTCGTATTATTAATACGCGGCAACGTGTGTTCAAGCAGGCTCAAGGTTGAAATTGACTAAAAATGTGTTCTTCCGCCAACAACAACCGCCAAGTCCCGAAAGCCCAAAGCCCTGCCCCCAATACTAATATGCACAAAAAGCATTTGTTTGTAGGGATTTACCTGAGGAAATGGAAATTTGTCTGGAAAATCGCTTACATGCAAGCAGCATGTGTGTCATGTATACATCCGCTGCCTCTACCTTTTAAGTGCAAAGACCCAGTAGGCTTTTCTTTTACTGAAAAACAAAACTGACCTTAGAAAAAGCTCCTTTTCTTTCCCTGTAACTCTTCTCCCCTTCTGTTTCATTTCATGGCCTGTCAGAAGAGCACCACAATTACCTTGCAGGACAGCAGACAGACAGCTCTGTCCTTAACGACAGGGCCATACTTAACTCTGTTTTAAAGCACTCTGGAAAGCCCCCACACTGGGCCCGCTCGATACCCTCTCCTTGTCAAGAACTTTCTCTAACAACTCAGTCAAATAATACTACTTGGCAAAAAACATGCTCTGATGCATGACAGCAAAACATTGGTGTATGAGTAATAGACTCGCTTTATTTTCATTTGAGTTTCATTCAGCCCTCTTTTGCAAAAAAATAAAATAAAATTTCTCGAGTAACCGTTTTTCCAACCTAGTTATAAGAATTTTTACATAATTATTAATTAACGTCCTAACCCTGTAAAACATCACTCTTCTCACTCTTCCTGCGGATGAATGTATTTTAGAGAGAACGTAATAGTATCCCTTTGAAATTGCATCAAATTGATCTACTTCAAACAGCGCCGCAGTCGACAGGCACTCTCAATAGCGAGTTTAAAAAGTCATTCATAGCCACAGGAGGGCATTAGTCCACTTCTCTCCAGCGCTCATTCCACATTATGATACACGGCTACAGGTTCATGAAGTTGTGAACGAGGCATAATGGGAAACTGAGACCAGCTGACCCGACTGTCCTGGAATATATCTTTGGATTAATTTGATGTGTGTGTGTTTGTGCGTTTCATACCTTCCTGTCTGGCCAGTTATACTTGGCAAAGATGGCATCGTATGTATCCACTGCCCCATCTGTCACCAGCATAATAGCCTGGCTGCACTCGCTTCCCCTCCCAGTCTCGTTGAACTGACGGTAGAGGAAGAGAGAGTCAACAAAAACCAAACAAAGCTTAAGTAATTTACCACGCAGCTCATCGAATTCCCTCCCATTAGAGCTTGTAATGCATCTTTACATGTCTTATCATTGCATCATGGCAGCTAGCTGTATTACAAAATGACGTTAATGGAATATTAATTAGATGACTATAAATACAAATACACACAAGAGGGGGGGAGGACATCTTGCGTTACCAACATGTAAATTACAGAGCCATTACACAGCATGTCATTGCATTAGTTGGTAGCAGCGTACACTTTACATACAAATACAGGTTGTTGAAATATGTCCACTTAGACAGGGACGGTTAATGGATTGTGTTTGGCTCCTTGTGCGTTTGATTAATGGCCTGTTCATAATGAGGAGATGTCGGACGAGTAACCTGAGTCATCAAGTGCCTTGTTTACTCGGTTTTCGCATGATTCTGTTGATTTAGCTATTAATTACAGGCCTAATTAATTTTGTGCATGACAGCGATGTGCGTGCGTGCGGGGCGGAGATCATGCGTGAGTGCGCTACTTACGTCACCGAGGAGATTGAAGGCCTCAGTCAGAGCGATGTCTAACATACCGATGCCTTGAGCAAACAGCTTGTCGAGGTGTTCCCGGAAATGCTGTGGAAAAAATAAAGTTTTTTTTTTGGAGGAGGGGGAAGTGAGTGTTACAGTCATGGTGACACAACTACAGAACAAAGAATGTGGCAGAATTACAGGCCGTTCTTGATTTTATTAAAGAGAAAAAACACGAGAGATAACTATGAAAGGAAAAAAAAAAAAAAGAAGCAAACTTATTGATTTTATTTGCTCATAACATAGATAGTACTATTTCACTGAATTTGATTTACCACCATTTGTGTGTGAACAGAGATTGTCCCAGCAGTCTAATGGGCTCTTTAACTCAACCCTGAGCCAGTTTTTGCGGCAAACTGCCACATTATCTTGGAGTGAAATGCCATATACCGACTGAAAGAGCTATAATGACCAGTTTTCCCTCCACCTCCTCTTCCCTTTCTCGTGCGCATTTATACAGCGTTTCATTTGTATGTCTGTTTTTAGATGGAACTGTGCCGCATAGGGTTTATTATCTTATCATGTAATGATGAATTTAATGTTAACAGGTCTCATGTACATGTCTCATGTGCAATAGCCCTGAAGCAACACTGACATAGTCAAGCACACACACACACACACATATATATATATATATACAGCCTATTATCCAGCCTAATCTATTTATAGCTATTTAGATCATGTTGTTGGCATTTTCAGCATTTCCTATTGACACTAGCTCCATACAGCTACCTTTCCACTGACAGAGGTGAGCAACCCTTATACACACTTCTCTAGCATCTGTATTTAAAGAGGAATTACATCCACTCTGATTTTCAGTTTGTAGGATTTTGGATCACCCTGGACCTACACCCCACCTACATCCTCCCAGCCTTTTATCTTTCCCTGACTTCACTCCCTTTCCTTTTTGCTCCTGCTACAGTCATATCCTCCAGTCTTCTGTTCCGTACTGATGGGAGGAGGAAAGTCTCTCAACACACAGTTGGGGGTCCTAAGCGGCATAAGGCCATATCAGAGCTCGCTCACTTGGGAGCAAACACACACATGAACGTACAAAAAAAAAAAAAAAAACAACCTCCAGCGTCCCTGACAACACCCCCATATGGCAAAAAGACACAACCTTTCCATTGATGTGGATAAAAAGGTTAATCGGTTTCAACAAAAGGCTGTACCCTGGAGCACAGCAAACTTTACCTATTGCGTGTGAGTGTGCGTGTGAGTGCTTGTGAGTTAAGATCGAAGTGATTTTTCTCAGCACAGTGGGCCATGTTCAATCCCTGGCGCAGCAGTGTGCTAAAGTGGCAGATTGAAAGTGTGTGTGTGTGTGTCCGTGTGTCCGTGCGAATGCAATGCTGAATGTGGCCAACCTTTTGTGCTGCACCACAAGGCTCTGAAATGTGCATTGGACATCAAACCCTTCAATGCTGCAGACACCTTTTATTCTCAGAAATGATCACAGCAGTCCGCTTAAAGACGCTTGGCTGCTGGGACATTATAATGAATGAACAAAAATATCTTAAATTGCAGCTTGCCGGAGCCTAAGGTTTTGACTTTTATGGCGAGCTATTTATCTCAACATGGAGGCAGATGCAATTCTGATAACTGCATGAAAAGACAGGCGGGAAAAGAGTTGGTTTTGCTGAGCAAAAACAGGGAGTAAAGTGTACAGACATGAGTAAGGATAGGTCTGTTTTAACACTAAATCAACAGGCATTTTGGTGATCAGATGTATCAAACCAACAGTTCAACACCATATCCTGCTTCTTATAGGTAATCATTTGTATTTCTGTTTGTGTTGGCTGACTGTTTATCTTCAGATTCAAGCCCTGCTGGTGCATCCATTCAAAAACTTTGTGCTCAGGAGTAATGGGGAGGGGAAATTTGTTGGTGTGAAAACTACTGTGCTGATTTAAGTAAGTGAAGTCTGGAGCTGGTACAAATTGTGTGACTGGAAAAAAAAAATCAACCTTTCATTCTTACTGTGCGTACTGATTGAGAAAAAAAAAAATCTACAGTCACTATTTTACTGCATTAAAGCTCATTCGTTTTTGTTCTACATTGCAAGTCACTCTAATCTTCCTTTAGACAGCAAACACAAAAGCTCACCTGCTCTCAAAGGTAGCAGTTAAAAACCAAGAATAAGAACTTTAGATTCGCCTGGGAATCAACTGTCAGGCTTTGTGTGCACAGATTCGGCGTGCTGCCTGTTTTCTTCATGTGATGTCAATCTCAGTAAAAACAGATTAAAAAAAAAAAAGACAGTCATAAACATTTTTTTAAAAAAGTATATATTTCATTGCTTTAGCAATTGCATGTCATTAAAGGAGAAAACAGAGGCTACATTTGTGCTGTACAGTCATAGCAGAAACCCAGTGTAGGCTATAATTACATTATGTCAAACGAGCAGTATTTTTCCGGTGCAGGCTCGTTCTTTTCTCTCTCTCCATATTTTGCTCTCTTGCTCTGAGGGTAAACTAAACTAAATATAAATTGCACTTATAATTAAATGAAATTGAAAATTTTGTTGTTGATGGCCAGCATCAGGGGGAAAACTCAACAGCTAGGGGAGGCAGTGACAGGTACCATAGCTACTGCCTCCATGAACAGCATCAGTTCACCCAGGTAGCCTTCATGCACAGGTGAGGTGAGTAGTGTGGCTAAAACGGAACAACTGCTAGACTTGTTTTTCTGTTAAAGGCTTGAGAAGTAGTGTGAAAAACAATCACACAGTGTGGAATGCTCTTCTTTAGATGCTCGTTGACAAACCTAATTAGAAAAATGGCAATATAGACAAATGAATGCGGATGAAATGGAAACTTGACAACATGTGTTACAGCTGAAGTTTGGGTGTGAAGTAACAGATTTTGGAACGGCAGATCGGTAAGTCTAAGTCTCCCATGCGACTGCCACTTCCTGCCCTCAGTTGAAGTAAAAGACATTAGCCTTATCTAGTGCTGCAGACTGCCTTCCCCTCTTAGCTGGCTGACTCACACTACATTAAACTACCATCTGGAATTAAACACACAATGCTAATCCATATGCATAAAGTGTACACTCACTAAGAAGTAAACAGAAACTAACTTAAACACAGACAGTAACACACACACAGACAGAATTCTGCAGCACTTGCACGTGGTGCATTGGAAGTAGTCTGTGCATTTTCTAGTAAACAGCTGCGCCCCAAAGGTTTGGCCTGGACTAATAGAGGTTAGAAATTGAATTTTTAAATGGAATTTGAAAGAATTTGAAGGAGATGGAATTTTCAGCGGACACCTGGAGATGGAGTTTATACTGTTGGTACAGCAGAGTCAGAGATGGAGAAGGGGACCGTGCTGCAGTAATACCAAGGATTACTGTGCCATCTTACTGACAATATCTTGAATTCACATCCCAGTAATACACATAAACGCACTCAAATATATCATATTTCTCTGATTTAGCAATGCACTCTGCTAACGTCGGACTCACTGGCTCTCATAAAATGCTATTGAAGAACCGACACTTGCACCAAGTGTTTCTTTCCACAAGCTGTCTGTTTCACAGATCGCATACACACCCTCACTCACAAACATGGTCAGTGTAGGTTTATGTAAGACTATTTATTTACCATAAGCAGGCTACAACACTCATAGTGTTAACTGTACTGTGCCTATACTGATATCAGGGACAACTTTTCATATAAATGTGTATATATTCCTTCTTTAAATCACACTATAGATAAGGGGCATAGTTTATACTCTATTTCTGCAGGGTGTTTAATTTTAGATTTTTGCATTTTTAAATTGAGAGTACAAGAATGCACGATTTTTTAAAGATGTTGTTTGAATGCATTTGTCACTCTAAACTCTAAATATGTTTTTGTTTTTGAAAAGACCTTGTAAATGATGGTTTTCTATTTTCCTCTACTATCCTGGAATTTTCAAATGAGGGTAACAAAAAAAAAAAAGGAGATAAAGAAAGATAGACTTACATCTTTGTTAGTGATATCTGCTTGGACCAGAGTTCCATTCAGACATGGCTCCACATAATGCAATTCCTCATTGTACTGGAGAAACAAAAAAGAAATAATTAATCATTTTAATTATTTCAAAATCTGCTGTATATACTGCATAGAATTGTTTGATCTAATGTTCAAAAACACGCAGTGTGAAGAAGTTAGAAAAACTTCCACTCATCTTGATGGAAAGTACGTCCACATATGCACACGCTGCTCACACTATACAGTACACAATGTACCCAGCGCCTGCCATTCTGCGATAATACTCGCCATATAATGCATCAGTATGAATTAGACTTCAAAGTACAAAAAGACAATGGAAGTGTGCTCTTCCAAAGCCAGTAATTTTGCCCTAATCTGTGTATGTGCATATGTGTTTGTTGGAGTGTGTGCATGTGTGTGTGTGTGTGTACGCTGCAGCACGAGACAAACTCTGACTGCATAAGAGACTTTTTTCTCTCTCTCTCTCATGCACATGTAAAGTACTTTGAATTGCCTTTGTGTATGAAATGTTCCATACAAACAAACTTGCCTCGCCTTGCCTCTCAAGTGCGTACAAAATTTGTTCCATCACTGCAGATAGTTTTGAAAATGGCGTGTGTGCTACCCAGTAATAGTGACACGGTAATAAATGACACAATAAAAGGGGGAAAGAAGAAACAGATGAGTCAAAATGACACATCCTTTTTAAAGAGTGTCTGGGAAAAACAATGTGTTTCTGCCTGATTGTCAAATCCTCTTTTTCTCTATTTTTCAAAAGAATAGTTTTCAAAATAACATGATTAGGATACTGACTGATAATGGAAACTTTGTTCAGCGGAGAAAGATATTGGAAGTGATGTTTTGATGTGAAATAGCATCAGACACACACATGTGCACGTGCACGGCCGTACACGCGCACGTGCACACAAAGCTGCATCGGGCTGAAATACGATAACAATAGTTTAGGTGCCCGAGGCAGGATCCAATCACAACTGTCTCTTTTGCATTTCAAATCTTCATTCAGCTCACTGTTAATTGGTTGTGAGCGTGACAGGAGAGAAAGCTGATTCGTTCCAGCATTTCCTCTGATCTGAGGAGGAGAGGATGCGAATCTGTGCTTTATTGTGTATGCGTGCATGAGTGCGTGCTTGCGTGCGTGTGTGTGTGTGTGTGTGCCCATGTATGTGTGTTGAGGGGTTGTGTGTGTCTAACTGTACAAACCGCAGAGTTGAAGTATTTTATCTGCCCTCCTCACAGCTGTGTGTATCCGTGTGGACTTACAGCTATGATGTTAAAGAAGTCATCATCTCCAAGAGTGTCCAGTATGGAGGAAACAGTCTGCCTGGCGATAGTCAGCCTCAGACCTTTCATGCTGCCGCTAACATCCACCAGGATCACTACGTCCTTCGGAGAGGTGGCAGCCTGGATGTACCACTTCCGGTTCCGACAGTCAAAAGCTATGACTCCGTGTTCGTCTGGCTTCCATTTGATTCCTTTAACAGGATTGCACATCAAAGATAAACAATGAATGATATTAGTGCTGGAGTTGCACAATTTGTATGGAAGGAAAAGGAATTGTTACGCAGGCAACAAGGTCTGCCAAGAAATCTGTTCTTTGAACCTTATAGGCTTTCTGCCAAACCACAGCATTCACCATCTCCCTTTAAAAATACATCTGCCCCTACAGCGCCCTGTTTTTAGAGATCCAATTCCCCCAAATTATTAAAGCACATTTTTTTTACTTCTAAGAGTAAATGCAATGAAAGTGACAAAAAAAAAAAAGCACACCAAATAATCCACAGAACATGCCGTCAGCTATTGTCATGGCAACTATTTCTTCAATAAACAGAAAATAGGATTTTTTTTTCTCTCTCTTTTGTAATGTAAGTGAACTTTAAGGGACATAATGAATTTAATTCTAATGACTCTGCTTGCCTCTGGGTCAGAAAACTAACAATGGACAGTGGAAGAAGCCCTTTAACAGCCTGAGCTGCAGATTACGTATGACAGATGTGGAATGAAGCAGGTGATATTAAAAAAGCATAATTAAAGAAAACTGATATTCCAGTTCAGAAGGTCAAAAGATAAAAATAAGAAAAAGCAAAAGCCTTTCCATCAATTTTCCCATATTCACTGCTCCATAGAAAATGGGTTAATCAATTACATTCAGCTGCTACTTCACCAGTTTCAAATATATTTTTAAAAAATCTATCTTCTTCTCTATTCTCCACACACTCTTTCACCTGTCTCTCTCTTCTTTTATCTACTCACACCCCTTCTCTCCTCTCCCACCCCTTCTAGCCTCCAGTCGCTAGCTGTCAGTCACTGAGGATACCCACACACCAGCCACTCGACTTTAAGAAGACAGCAACTTAATTACAAACACACACACATCCACCCTTACAGCAAACACACACTTACCTGGGTACTGCCTGAAAAAGCCTTTGGCACTGCCGAAGTACTGCCATATGAGTGATGGGTCTCTCTCAAAGTTATCCACAAACACTTTGTTCAAGGCCTCAGACCAGTACACTCCATTGACGATTGCAGAGTCTACGGAATAAAGTGAGAAAACGGGGCGGGGGCGCAGACACACATGGAGGCAAGACAAAAGGTTAACATTGTTTTTACAGTCCAGGAGGCTGGAACGGGTATTCTCTGATGCCTGCTCATTCAGTTATATCGTATCACACAGATCACTATCAGGGCCTATTCATTACAGAAAGATACAGAGAAAGTGTTAGCAGAAAGCAAAAAAAAAAAAAAAAAGAGTGAAAAGATGAGAATAGAGAAAAAGGCATTAGCGAGATAAACGAGAACAGGAGTAAGGAGAGTCAGTGGACTATTCTGGCTACAAAGGCAAAACACAAAAGCTCCACGTTTGGTCAAAATAGATTTAAGAACTGAATCTAAATCTTTGTGACATCTGTTTTATATCAAAGAATAATACAAAACTGTCAAATAGAAATGCTTTTTTGAAAACGGCCTTATAAATCCGCAGTGACCACAAACAAGAGCTGAAGTGCAGCAGCTTTTCATTGGTGAGGTAGTTTCTGCATCCTGACTTTGTGTTTGTTCCTCAGAGTGCACTAACTGTGCTGAGGTTTAATAATATCTGTGCCGTAAATCCCACCATCACACATAAAACAGTAGAGATAGCGAAATGATCTACATCTTGTCTTGAGCTTTTCTTGTCTTGATTATACTAAGAAAACATAAAATAATCTATGATTAGACTGTATTAATAAAATAAAATACAATAATTTAGGTATAACAACATGAAGGTATTGCAAAATTTGTATTTCTTTTGCAATTGACGACTTTATTGTCTGTGCATATGTTGTATTATATACTGCAAGTCTACAAATATATTCATGTGCATCTATAATATGCACATTATGTGCAATACGGTTTACCAAATTCCATCCAAACTGCACATCCAATTATTGCTTCTTTTCAATTTACAGCCTGACAGAGTCATGAATATACTGGTTAGCCACCAGACAGCCAAGCCTATTACAGCTGCTTACTACAGGGTTCAGAAGCGGGGCGGGGAAGATGGAGGCAGAAAAGGATGAACAGACAGACACAATCATACAGTGAGACAGATACACAATACCCTTTAGAGAGAGATAAAAAAAAAAAAAAGACGACAGCCAGGAAAGCAGACAAAAAGACAGGCAGAAAATTACTGAGGGACAGAGAGACAGACAGACAAGTACCTAATGGACAGAGAGAAAGAAAAAGTAGATAACAGATTTCCCATCATCTCCTATGCTGGCAACATTGTTCTGCTGTCAACAGTCATGCCAATAAGCCATGATTGAATTATTCTTCTGGAAGCTAGCACACTAAAGCCCTCTCTTGATAGTAAACACCCATCCACCTCTATGGAGAGGAGTGGAGAGGAGGCTGGATTTGATCCAGGCTCCATTTACACAACAATACAGTCACTTCTGGTGCAGTTTGAGTGTCTATTACAATCTGAACTCATCATAATGAGGAAGCGAGTACAGGCTCTACTTTCCCCCCTAAGCTGTCATTTAAATTCATCTCAACTAATGCACTCCTTAGTTCAATCTGATCAAAGGAGCTGCCACGATTCTATATATTCACACATGCGCGTGCACTTAGATTAAAAACTCAGATTAAAAGGTAGAACCATGTAGGTTACTCGCTGCAGTGATTTCACAAATCTGAAATTACTTAATTCAGGCTATTCACATTATTACCATTATTCATGTTATTAGGTTAGCTCTAAAAATCAAGGGGGGAGGGTTTAATAAGAGGAGAGAGACGGATGTGTCTACGTGCACACACAAGCGTTTCAGAAACCGGAGTGTATCCAAATGCTCTAACTGGCTTCACTGCATTCATAGAACATGCTCCTGTCATGTAGCGTCATAAAATAAATATCCCATGCGCTGTGTTTTTGTTGTAGCATGAGGTTGAAAGATGGATGTTCGATGCCCTGCGATTAATCTCCAAGGGGCATGAAGCTCTCCGCTATCATGGACTTAAAGTCCAATTCATCACTGCCGACGCCAAACAATTTATGGAGTGCACGGGCTACAGCCGGCTCCTCGGCATAAAGAATAGACCTGGATGACAGTGACTGGCTAGAACATGTGGGGAAAACAGCCTCGTCCTTCATTCAAAACAGCGTGGGCACAGTGAGGTTCCAAAAAAATAAAAAATAAAGGGAAAAAAACACATGCTGGTTAATGTCAAAAAAACAACTGAACTTTGCTCAACATCGTCCAACGCTACACTGGTCAATCATAGACACCGAAGATTTTTGGTAAATTACCTGCTAAGATTACTGAGACTTGTCCTACGTCCTTCTACCACTTGAGCTTTTCTTGTCTTCTACTCATGTAAATCCTTGTGCAGTGTTTTGGCATCAGATAAGCCCCAGATGTGTTGGTAAAACTGGACTTTGTGGATCATATTTCATTTTCTCACCTACACTGTTTTTCAGCTATTTTCCATCAGAACACCTGCTTGCTTTTTGGCTGAAAGCAAACGATAGGCATGGAAATATTAATTACATCGAGGTGCTGCCAAACTGTGACGAAGAAACGCGAAGAAACTAAAAAACACTATATTATAGAAACACAAGCTTGAAATTTCCCTCCAAAGCAGAATGTTTTGAAGCATCGTTTAGATTCAGTTGCTTTTCTCTCTAAGTCTTTCTCCCAGAAGTCCCAGCCAATACATTCACGTTATCACCACCAATGAACAAAGCCCTACAACTCTAAAAGCTGCTCATGTGTGTGCATGTGTCAGTGAATCAACTCATTTGCCTGTGAATCAAATCAAAATTACTCTTCCTCTCTCTCTGCATCGGTCTGCCAGCCTGCCAAACTCACTTTCCCAGCACTTTGATTCATCTCATTCACTCTCCTCCCGTCACTCTCACTTGCTTTTTCTCGTTTTTCTACCTAGCTGCAATTAATCTGTTGCTCAGGCCTTCCATCAGTCTGACTTAACCTACTTTCTCTCTCGTTTACTTTTTTTCTCTCTCTCTCTCTCCCTCCGTATAATTTCCTTCGCCTCTGGTAGCTGGGTTAAGCCGACATGACATTCACTCCGTCCACCGTGCATTGCGCAAGGCCGCAGCTTCATTGGTTGGACTTGAGTGGAAGGTAAATTAGCAGAAGTCTAATTATTTAACCGTTAATTAAATCGGTATGTGGCAGGGATGATCCAAAGAGTTACAGTTAATGAACTCAAATCCTTCCTCTGACACATCCGTTTGTACCAGCTAACTTTGGTGCTGATTGTTCATTTTTATTCCCTGGTGTTCCATTTATTTTTGTGGTCATTGTTGTGCACTTTTTGTACATAATGGGTTTTTACTGTACATTTAGGGTCGTGGGCGTACCTTTGTTGTACATGTTGGTGGGCACCTGGACCACGCTGAGGCTGAGGTTGACTGACAGGTTGTTAAAATGATCATTGGGTTGTAGGATGAACTCTCCTCCCAGCTCCACGCTGTTCCCCTCCTCATCCACCTCATTGATCAGCACCGCATTGAAGTATTCATACTAGAAAGGGAGAGAGATGCACAAGACAGTCAGTGTTAATGAAACATTCGCTTACATACAGATAAATACTTCCGCTTGCTGAAGCTGTCAGAACTCAGTACCGAGGATTTCTCTTTCAATACACTCAACTTGCTGATTCATGTTATCAATGTATAGGAGGACTGGGTCACTTTAGTGCTGAGTCAGACAGTAGTTTGCGTACTGAGGTAACCTGAATCCTTGGACCCTTCCAGACGTGCATGTTGTTACAGTGGAAAGCTGCTGAGTTGACAAATCTCTCCTCAAGCCTCCGCACACTCCCTTCCGAGCTCGATGCTGCATGTGGTGCTCTGCTTCCAATGTATTTTTAGTACTGCGCATATCGGGGAGAGTATTAATAAATCATAAAGCTAGATAAATATAGAGCACAAGACTCCCTGCATCCCAAAGGCTCTGAAGTCTAAGATGGCATACAGGGCAACGCCTGCAAAGGCGACAGCTGATGTCGAACAAAAGAGAACAAACAGATAAAGATACTCAAGTGACTGGAAGGAATACGACATTTCGTGCATATTTTTTGTAGGTTTACAAGTACGTGAGCTTCACAGGCGTACAGACGTAGTACAAACACTTGAGCTGAAACCAGCTTGTTTGAAGTTTACCATGAATTTGAAGGTTTAAAGGTGTCATTTATTCACTATAATACAGTAATATTCACTAATCTGACCTATAAATCTGCACCAAAGTCAAAAGTGATGATATTTGATCCCAGTGCAGCACACAGACATTTGACATAACTAATGAATAATTATTATTTTTTAAATAATACAGTTACGATAACAAGTGCTGTTAAGCACTCGCTAATGGAGATCAAGTCAGATTTTCTTTTTTACAATGAAAAATATCCTTCAGTGGTCTTGCTGTCAATAGCAATGGCAACAGCACAGGATTACTTGCTTGTGCAGGGGAGCAGTGGTGATTACATGGCATAAGGCCACATTGATTTCTCTTGTAATCGCCAGGGGAATAGGGTTTGAAAAGGGTCTCTGAGAAGAATGCCATACCATTCTCAAGATTCTAATACAAAGGCTCAGTACATGTGTTATCACTCAGAGAGGGACAGATGCTCTCTGGGCTCTGATTTCTGAGGCTAGTGCTCAGTGGGACTGAGAAAATTGCAAACCCAAGTGAAGAGTGGATCTGTGTAGACAAAAAACCATCCAGTATCTACACATCTTAAAGAAGTCACCATATGTTGCCTGTTCATCACCGACCAATCCTGACACCATCACTTAGAGACATAATTTACTGCCCTACGATTGACTTGGATTCTTTTCTCTTTGTGCTCGCTCACCCCACCACCTTAGCTTCTCTATTCCAGCACCAGTAACCTTCATTTGGGCTAAAGCTTTCCGGCTCCTCCTGAGAAGCACCATCATCCCTTCAGCACAGTGCAAAACACTGATAAAGCCATCAATTAGGCTGGCAAACACAGTGCCTATCGGTGTAATTAATCAGGCCTGATTAGACTTATTAGCCTTTTATCAAGGGGAATGCTGCCATTTCAAGGTGAGGAAACACAGCGTTGCATATTTGTGCCTATATTTTCCCCTCTTCTCTTTTACCTGGCTTTCAGCACATAGACACAAACCTTAAAAAGAACAATCCTCTCAACTTGTTGTCACGCACACACTCATCTTGAAAGTAAGTTGGTGGGGAAGGCCAAAGGGTACAAAGAGAAAAAGAGATTCAATGAGCAAGCACATGGCAACCTCTCACAGAAAGGCAGCCAGAGCAGGACATGGCTTTCCTCTGTCAGCATTTAGCTTTGTAAGAACAACACATTAGTATGCAACTCACTGTTGGGTTTTGACCCACCACTTGTGAAAATCTGATCCACATTGACCTTTATGATGTTTGGGATACCAGCCATTTTTCTACGATCAGTATGGTATCTTTGTTTTCTTTTTTTTTAATACTACAGAGTGAACAGAATTCAAATTAGTTGACTTTGACAAGGACTGTTTCAATTGCCGTGTTGCTCTGTGGGAATCACCTCAAATTGTGCCGTTCAAGATAGAAGGAGGTGAGAGGAAAAGTCTGAGAAGTTCAGTCAGCTGTGACAGCGAAACAAACAACTCGTTTTAACTTTGGCCATTGTTGAACTATCCTTAACTGTATAAAATGAAAGAAGACAGGATGAAGTCACTGAGAGGGAGGCAAAGACATGAGTGCAAGAAGAGAAGGAAACTAGGACGAGGCAAGACAGGCAAGGACGATACAATATGATTCAATATAATATAATATGGCAAAATGACGGACTAGATTGTGTTACAACAGGGAAAATACAAGTAAAGGACAAAACAGCATAGATAGTGAACAGATGCAAGCAGAGGGGTTATAACAGCTGCATATACGGGGCATATTTGGTTACTTTATGTGGCCATAATCTATATTGTGAGTCAGTGGAATACTTTTTGGCATTACGGTGCATTTTAATAACTTCCAGCTTATTGTTGCCAATTTCTGGCCCCTCCAGCTCTAGCTGCTTTGGTAAAAAGGCTTTATTTTTTGCCAAAGAGGGCCACAGTGTCCAGTCCATAGAGGGTCAACCTTCTCTCAGTACCAACCTCTGCTCTCCTGTCTGAAGAAATCCAACCAGAACACATAGAAAGAATGCATGTATGGCAAAAATCCTAACTTAAAAAATGTGCCATGTATCATTTCTGTGCTTATCTTTGGGATTGCTCAATCATTTGAAATATTTATTTGTTTTATTTACTCATTTCGTGGCTTTATTTTGAGCCAAAATATAATTTTTTTTTCAAATCATTCCCCAGCGTGAACAATAGGAAGCTGAGTCTCAGGTCGGACGTTGTCAGACCTTGTTGGCAAACAAAACACCTTGAGCACAGAGGGACTTGTAGCGCAAATGACATCTACTTCCCTCTTTGCGGCAAAGAAACAAGATTTGATCCCAACCTAATATGATGGGTGGAAAAAGCCAATATAAGGATGTGAATCTAGTTTACACAAAACGCAGATGTGCGCACTCACACATGGTGCACAGAGACGGAGCCAAGTGCACCTGCAGCCAGCGAGGCGCCGTTGCGTCTTTACTTTGTTCCCCTTTTTGCATTGTCTCATTTATACCTGTCCTAGCATTCTCTCTCTCTCTCTCTCACTTCCTCTCCCTCCTTCCCAACCCTGATTTATCTCTTTCCTTTTCTGGCTCAGCCCGTTTCTTTCTACCCATTGTTCACTTACTGTCTGCAATGCTCATCAAGCCCCTAACTACCTTCTGTTTCTTCCTGGTGTTCCACTCCCATGGCTCTCTTCTGCATACAGCACTCATTTTTAAGGTTTGGCGACTATCAGCTCTATCTGTGAGACCCATTGTCGCAAATGCCAGATTGTCACAGTCTATTGCCTTTTTTTTTTCATTTGTGGCTCTCCCCCATTTCACCAGTTGTGCCCCTTCTTCTTTCCTTGCCTGTACAAGTGGTTAAATAAGAAAATTAGATACGTTTCAAGCACTTAATAAAAGTAATTTCCGACACTTGCGACTTACAATGGGCAATTGGGCAAACACAGGAATCCAAAAGGCTGAGATGATGACTGAAAATATGCATCCATTTTGAATTTAGCACTTCTATTTTTCTATTAAAAATGATACCAGCTTGACAATTTGAGTCCAACTCAGTGTCTGAAAAATGCACATGAATTCATTTTTGTTCTAGTTTGCTGGAAAGTCTGTGACAGTCAGCACTCTTTGATCTTCTTTGTCTTCAAGTAGCTCTTGCAAAGCTTTGAGGTGTGTTTGCGCTCATTATCGTGCTGCAGTGTGAATCCTTCTCCACAAAGATGCAAACAAGAGGGCGGGGTATGTCTCTGAACAGTGCTGCACTACTCAGGTAAGTCATTTTGGTGTAAACGTCTAAATCCAGAGCAAGTAAAACACACCTGGACTCATATATTCCCATGCACCATCATGTTTTTTCTGTGGGTTGTGCATTCTCTCTCTCCAGTTTGTCTCCTTACATAAGTGCTTCTCTTATTTGCTATAAATCTTAAAGTTAGATTCATCAGTAAATAGGACTTTTCCAGTCATTCACTGTGAAATGCTGGTGTGTCTTTTCTCTTTCTGTCAGTGTTTGCCTTTCTGCTCTTGAGAATTGGTTCTTAGAAATGCGACTCATCCACTGAGACCACAACGACACAGCCTCTTTTTTTGCTGATTAGAATTTTTTTTATGAAGCAAACTGATGATGGAGTGTCTTTTAATCTTATAGCGAGCAAAACTTGACGCATTGATCTTCTGAGAGTGCGGTCACTCTTGGTCTAGGTGATCGTGCCGTGAATAAGACTAATTCAGACCGTTGCGCTGTAGCTTTAGAAACCTTCAGTCTATCAGTGATTCAACAGTGAGACTTCTGACAGTTTCACTTAGTTCTGATGCCACGTTCCCCACCACCTCGATGCTGCTTAGCAAGCAATACTCTGCTGAAAACCTGAGGCACAGACAGTCGCTGCAAGTTGATTTACTTGATGAAGTCTCTGGTGAGCAGCTCAGATTCACCTGTTAATGTAAAAGAGAAACAACTCAAGCACATATCAGCCTTTGTGAACATAGTCAATGCCACAAAAGTGCCTACATTTGGAATTTTCCAACTTCTTGTGTTTGTAAATGTTCCTAAATCCTCTAGCTTTCTGATTATTTCCAGGTTTAACTGAATTTTGAGGTGGTTTTCTCATGAAACTGACAATTTAGAGATCCAAAACAGAAAACAACAGTTGCTAATTACTCATTTCTGCGACCTTGATCGGATGTTCTGGCTAAAACATCACCAGAGGCATTAGCCGTTAAAAGTATAGAAAATATAAAGTTAAGTTTAAAAAAAAAAGACAAAACAAACTACAGTTAATGACTCTGCTAATAGACTCATTTACATTCACAGCGTGTTGCCTTTAATTTTGATTAAAATCGCACAGCTTTGGAGCTTCAATAGTGTGGGAGTGAG